CAAAGCAGAACCAGTTATTTAGGATGGGACATGCAAAGCGGGGTCTGATTAGGGTCTGGAGCATAAATCCTATGAGGAGGAGCTGGGGGGGCTCAGCCTGGAGAAAAGGAGGCTCAGGGGGGACCTTCTGGCTCTGCAACTCCCTGACAGGAGGGGGGAGCCGGGGGGGGTCGGGCTCTGCTCCCAGGGAACGAGGGACAGGAGGAGAGGGAACAGCCTCAGGCTGTGCCAGGGGAGGGCCAGGTTGGATTTGGGGAAAATTTCTTCATGGAAAGGGTTGTCCAGCCCTGGCCCAGCTGCCCAGGGCAGGAGTGGAGTCCCCATCCCTGGAAATGTTCAGATGGAACATTTTTAGTGGTGACCATGGCAGGATTTGGTCAAAGAGGGGACAGAAGCTGTTTCAGCTCCTCCTCAAAAGGCAGCAGCTCCATCCCATCATTATTTTTCCCTGCTTTCCCCTGTATCCTCTCTCATCAAGGTCCCTTCCACCACAAACCATTCCAGGATTCCATGATCCCAGTGTGTTCTTCCCAAAAACTGCCCCAGCTGTGTGCCCCAAAGCTTTCCTGCAGCACAATGCTGCCCTCTGCCTCTGCACCTCAGAGCCACTGCACAGGGTTCAAACCAGCTCCAGAGCACGTTTAGGAACCATAAAACCCCAGAAGGGTTTGGGGTGAGAGGGACCTTAAAGCCCATCCAATTCCACCCCCTGCCAGGGGCAGGGACACCTTCCACTAGCCCAGGTTGCTCCAACCTGGCCTTGGACACTTCCAGGGATGGGGCAGCCAAAATTAAATATAGTTTTATATATAATTTATATATAAACTCTCTCTAATTTGATATTGCACAGTATAAAGTGAGTACAAGCCAAGCTGCCCATGAATACATTGATTTTAGGCTATGAATTCTACCCCAGCAGGGCTGTGGAGACACAACAGTTTGCTCACAGTCTTTCCAAGTGGCTTTTTTGGTTGTTTGCTTCCTAAATATCCCAGATTCCCTGGTCTTGCATCAACTTCCTATGAATTAGTGAGAAAATGCCTCACAAGGCAGAAATTCATAACTAAGAACCTCAGGTAAAGAGACAGAGCAGCCCAATAAATTGTTAATAATAATAACTACAATGCTATAATTATCATCTTATAGAATACAATATAAATTATATAATATATAATTATATTAGTTATAACTATAATAATTAATAATAATAATAATAAATAACTCCTGAGAGTTGGGTCCCAAATCTTCTCTGTGTTAAGCAAAATGGTACTTTTTCCATATCCCAACCTTTTGTATTTAATGTAGGGATCACAAAATGAGGGAACAACAGTCTAGGAGAGCTCAGGGACCTCAACTGGGCCATAAAACATCTGGGAATGATCGTGGAAGAACTCAGTCTCCAGCACTGACAAAGCCACTGGGGGGGTTGGAGCATTTCTGGATCTTTTTGGCACCAACAGCAGCAAATTACTCTTTGGAAAACCCCATTACCCCCCCACAGAATTATCCCTAATGAAGGATCAGTCTCAGGATGTTCAGGAGTGTCCATGAGAAGGTGGTTTTTGCAGGACAAATCTTCTTAAAGCCCCTTCTGGGGGCTGAACTCACCGATCTGAGACGTGTGGCCATGGCTCAGGTGAGGCCTGTCCACCAGATTCCTGCAAAAAAGGAGGATATTTTCTTCTTCACAATAAAATCCCACGTGTCTGGATCCAGAAATCCAGGTTTGAACCTGTTATGCTGAAGAAAGATGAAAAAAGGGAGTTCATTCTCCTTGTTTTGCTAAAAAAAAAATAAATAAACCAATGGATGTGCTGGAGACAGAGAGAGACTTTCCCCACATCCCCCTGGATCTTCCCAGGTGCCTCCAGGACCTTTCCCACATTCCCAGGACCCTTCCCCATGGCCTCCAGGAGCCTCCCAGTGCCCCCAGGACCTTTCCAAAAACAGCAGGACCTTCCCCAGTGCCCTTTCCACAATCCCTAGGACCTTCCCCACATCCTCCAGGATCCTCCCCATGGCCTGCAGAACCTTCTCATCACCCCCAAGACCTCCCCACAACCCCCAGGGCCCTCCCAACATCCCCCAGGATCTTTCCAAAAACACCAGGACCATCCCCACAACCCTTCCACTGCCCCAGGACCTTTCCAAGAACACCAGGACCTTGCCCATGGCCTCCAGAACCCTCCACACATCCCCCAGGATGTCTCCCAGTGCCCCCCTGACCCTGCCCATGACCCCCAGGACATTCCCCACAGCCCCCAGGTCCTTCCCACAAGCCTGTGCCCTTCTACAGCTCCTAGGACCCTCCCCATTGTCCTCCCTGACCTTCACCAGGGCCTCCAGCTCCTTTCCCAAAGCCCTCATGTCCTGTCCACGGCCCCCATCCCCTCTCCACAGTCCCCAGAACTGTTCCCAGTGCTCCCAGGACCTTCCCACAGCCTCCAGGACCCTCCCTGTGTCCTCCAGGACCTCCCCACAGCCCCCATGACCCTCCCTGCGGCCCCCATGTCCTCCCCACAGCCCCCCAGACCTTCCTCACATCCCCCAGGATCTCCCTCACTCCTCCCCCAACCTTCCCCATGGCCCTGAGGACCTT